TTTAAGATTTGGAAATTCTTCCTCTTCTCTGGGTTGGGAACAGAATTACCTGAAACACCAAAGCTTTTAAACTATCATTACTTTCTGGGGACTTCTCCAGCTGAAATAAACATTAGCTTTATGGGACATAGCATCATCTGGAGGAGTGCCAGAGACTCATTGCCCAGGGCAGAGGTGGCCGTTGAAAGGACAGCCTCCTCCCTCTGGGAACCTGAGTTTCAGTCTCTGTCCCCAGCACAGTTCCTCCCTTCAGAGCAACCTATAGCCAACTGTGCCATTTCACTGGAATCCAACAGGAAAACAAAGTATGTAAAACTAAGGTCATTCCTGAATCCACTACTAGCTTCCTGTCCTGTGGGCCTGCTCCTTCTGCAGAGGTCCCTGGACTCTAGTGCTACCCTGCACAGAAGTTGGCATTGTACACACTCATTGTAAAGACCAGAGTAAGCAGCACTGCAGGAATCAGCCTTTCAAGAGACTGGAAGGACATCCAGGGCAGCCTCTGCCCCAGCCATTGTGTAATCAATCTTTTTCTCTTTTTTTTTTGATGGGGGACAAGACACCAGGCTTGAATTCCTGCTCTTAAGTCCCATTGAACTGCTCTGTTGTGCTGTATGGCTCCACCTGCGCTCTCTCTACTAGCAAAACTTGAGCAGAGCAAGGCTACAAGGGAAAGAAATTCAAATACATCCTTTATAAACTCATGCTCTTTTGGGATACACTAACAACTGTGAAACACCATGACTGTGTGTGGCGGCTGCCTTATTGCCACATGTCCACTGCTTCCTACTCAAGGACCAGGCAGTGCATGCTTCTGAACGTCCCATGGTTGCAGAGGTCTCTGCACACTTAGCTCTTATTGGTACTAGCAAAATAATTAATACACATGGGGTAAAGATTTAAGTAAACTAACATTGCCTCTTGATAAAGGATTGTTCTACCCCATAAATTAAAATATAATTACAAGTCAAGCAATTGCTGATTACAAATCCCTCCCCAACCCCAACTTGCCTGAGAACCAAGATTTGGCAAGCTGGCAGGAATGATCAGCTTCAGCAGGCTTAGTCTTTCCATAACAGATGCTTCTCCCTTGCTCATCCACATCAGCTGGAACCATTGAAGTCCTCCAAAATAGAACAGGATCTTTTCTGAGACTCAGAGCATCTCAGCCATGCCGTTCCTGGGCTAGTATAGTTTGCAGGGATGAGTGAGGGCAGGGTTCAAGTACTCAGAAGGATTGCTACCATTGTTACTTAGCATCGCAATAAAACCCCACAAACACAATGACCAAACCCCACAACCCAAACCCAAATCCCCATTAAAAAGAAAAAAAAGGTTGTGCTGACTCAAGGTTAGCACCCTAAAGTAGGTGCTGTGTTTAATGTTTCAGCTGTAGCTGCTGCTGCAGGACTTGGTTATTCACTGTATATCTTGCTAGCTTCATCCAAAGCTAGACAGATTTATGACTTTATTATTCTGTGAATATTCTGTATATATCTCCATAAATATAGGGGACAAAAATCCTGCATTAACTTACATCCTCCATTATCCCTCCAGCTTTTTTTACAGTGACTGTACAGAATGTGAATCAGTGCAAACTGAATTTAAAGTGTTTTAAGACATAGCATTGTGAATTGGTATTTTCTACAACCCTCTCTATTCATGGTATAAGTTTGTTGGGTGTTTTGTTTTTTTTTTTTTAAACTAAAATAAACTAGCACTCTTCTTTATTATAGCATTATGTTAAATATGCTCATGTATTTTTCAGAAATAAATGTATTTATAATGTGTAATATACTGTATAGTTCTCCACTCCAGGATCCATTGTAATCCGAGCATAAGAAATTTAATAAAAGTATCACTATTATGGTAATTGTTTTCAGATATTTTATTAATGAACACTTGGCTTGTAGAATAGCAACTGCCACACCTTTAGGGTATCAGGTGAGCATAGCTAGTCAAGAAAGGAATTGTTACCTCCAAGCTTTTAAAGATCTTCTTTAGCTTTGGCAAAGAAGCAAGTTTGCTCTTTGGAAGCAGGTGCTGTTCTGAAAGATCTAGAGGGTGAGGAGAACTTTTTGAAAGTTCAGGTATTACAAAACACGTGTTAATTTTGAGCAGCCTTGTGTTAGGTGCTGCTGCTGGACTTTGCTTCCACAGACAGGCAGCACACGCAGCATTTCCAAGAAGAATCAATGAAGGCACTGGGACAAAGTGTGCTGCTGCTCAGCACAGGGGTTTCTTTCTGAAAACCTGGATTCAGTAGCAGCACTACACAACAGCGTCAAATGACAGATCCTAGCTGGCCTCTGAGCTGCTCTTCCTCAGCCTTGATTCCCAGCCAGCAGCACCCTCCTGGAAAGAGCAGCTTCCTTTCCCCTGCAGGTATCTAAGGCACTGTGTACAGCACTCCCAACACCTTGACCTGGACTGCATAACCAGGTGATACAGAGTGAAGCTAAAGAGAGCGCTGGCATAAGAAGTCACACACAGGCATTCAAAAGAAAGTCATGGTGAAAAGTCAATGAGACTTAACTAAAGACAGGCCAAGAAAACAACTTAGACAGAAGTGCCTCTGTGAAGGTGGAAGGGAAATAATACACTTTCTGCAGAAGCAAATATTGCATTACAGGAGCCATGAGAACCACTAACACACCAGTGGTATTGGAGAACAGGCAGTGCACACAGGGCTAGGGCAAAAGAGGAGGAAATCTCCAGGATACCTTTCACCCTGTACCAGTGCTTCAGAAAAACAACTCCCATCTCACTGCTGCTTAAAGCCTTCCTGCCTACAGCTGAGGACCAAGTAGCAAGCCTTAAACACAGAAGACGCTCCAGAGTGGATAAGGAAAATAAGTTTATTCCTTTGCTCACCCACCTCCACTTAGCACTGCAAGTACTCTACAATAAGCATCATACCAGTGTCCTACACACAGCCCTGCACCAAAAGACACAGACCCTGCAGGGACGCTATGCAATTCCCACAGGGTACACACCCAGAGTTCCCTGCCACTTAAAAGGGATCTGTCAAGGTAAAGCCATCAAGATCAATTCTTGGTAGTTTAGGAAATCATTGTACCTAGTCTCCCTGAACTTGCAGGAGCTCATGTAGCCAGAATATGGCTGGGAGACACCATGCACATATTCACCTGCTGACCCTGCAGAGAGGCTCAAGTCCCCAGCAAGTTGGTGGCTCCTATGTCCAAACATCTGTTCATGGAGTTTCTGCACAGTCTTTCTGTAAGTCCCCTTTCCTAGCCCCCAAGCTGACTATAGGAACAGCCACCTGAAAGGAATGTCACCCTTTTGATAGTTCTCATACATTACAGTGACCCAGCTGTAAGCAGCAGTTTAGATGGCAGCCAAGACCAGCACAGACAGGAAGGACATGCAGAGGATGAAGGAAGGTGAAGAAAACCTCTCTGTGGACCACTAGTCTGATCAATGAGTGTCATGGGAAAAAGGGAACTTTGTAGACAAGGAGGTAAGGTCATGAACGCTGCTAGGTGGCAGCTACCTCATGTGGAAGTGCAAACTCTCATGAACTTCACTTTCATTAGATGAAAGTCCATGAACCTACATGAACTTTCATGAACTGCCCTGACAGCATCTGAGCTGATGCAGGAATGTGGCCAGCAGACCAGCAACTAGCCAAAAGTTGTTGGCAATTTGGTTTTTCCACCAAAGTATTGAGTATGGCTCTAAAGAAGTAAAATAAGATTTAAAATGAACAACTAGAAAATTATTGCACCCATCCAAGCGAACAAGGATGACTTAGAACTCCCTTGTGTAGGGAAGGTACAAAAACTTTTGCAAGGGATGGAGATCTTCACTAGCTCCTCTGAGTGAAAGGGAAGCTCACATTAACACGCTGCTGTGCAGCAAACACAGCTTGCCCCAAGGAAGCACTCAGTTCACCCAGCTCTCTTGCTATTTCACACCAAGTCCCACATCCCCTATCCTTGCAACACCTTCTGATCAGCTTTGCCTGCAAACGTGTCACAGTTTGGGAGAGACAGAGGGTTAAGGCCAGACTGAACAAGCTGAGCACAGTCCTGAGGGCTGGTTCTACCAGCCCTTGCCACTGCCTTGGGATCCCCCCGTACACAGGCCCTGTGCAACTTGGGCAGGAAGCCTCCAGCTCTTTTTTAAGCCCTTGCAACACACCAGACATGCTCTGCTGTCTCCCAGAGCACCTAGGGAATTTCCAGGGCACCTATCTAGTTCCTCATAGTGGAGTCATACTTCAATGAAACAAGAACGTGTGTGTGCCAGCTTCCAGCAGTAGGTTGGATGAGCTGCTTTGGTAAGTGCAAGGACTAGTTGCCAGGTTGCAGTGGCCTATACTCAGCCTCAGACAAGTGCATCTCTGTCCCAGCTTGGGAAGCCATTTCCCAGAGACTCTCTCAAGTTCTGGGTTTCTCTCTTCTCTGTGTTTTTCTCCTTTTTTTCTCTAGGAGCCCTTGCAGAGGTCAATCTCAATGTCTCATCCTCTTTTCTGACATCTTCATTTTGTCTCAGCCAGCAAGTCCTTTCTTGTCTATTGTCAAGCCTGGAGACCTTTCTAGCATTGCTAGACAAATATTTTATACTCTCCTCTCCTGTTGTGAGGGCAGACACCGCTAGGGAGAGAGACTGAGGCTATTGCTGTGCAGTTGCTGAGGAAAACAGTTGCATGTTCATTGGCAAAGCACACGCAGTGTGAACTTTACTGATTACCTCTGAAGATTTCAGGAACAATGAAGGATGGCTCACACCACCGAGGGCTTCCACAATCAATAGTGAAGAACAGAAATCCCAAATGTCACTGAAGTATTTGGAAGATGCTCTTGTGACAGTGAATATCTGTGAGTGCTTCAGTAGGACAGTGTGAACCATGATTTCTTTAACAATTAGCATTATGTAAAACAACATAGATTTTGTGAGCATATTACATATATTTCAGATTTCCTAATCTCTGCCGGTTGTCATCTGCAGTTGTTTGAGATAAGGTATGTCTTCAATGAATAATTAATACCAATAAAAGTCTTAGTTTCATAACACAGGGCAATCTAACAAATGATTGACTAGTAAACATTGACTGACTCAGCCATGTGACCCACAACCTGCTCTTGAGCTAACACAGACCTTCAGTATATAAACTCAGATTCTGACAGCCAGAGTCACTCCCTCCTGAGCCACAGATGAAAATGGAGCTCCTGGGAGGAGCCACTGTTGTCCTCCTGGTATGCATTGCTTGCCTGCTCTCCTTTGCAGCATGGAAAGGAAGGTCTGGGAAGGGGAAGATGCCTCCAGGACCAGCTCCCCTGCCCATTCTAGGTAACCTGCTGCAGGTGAAACCAAGTAACTTGGCCAAAACCCTCCAGAAGGTAAGGCCACTTCTTCTTCTCTCTTTCTGCTGTGGGTGAGAAATGTGTGGCACCTGTGCATGGGGTCAGCCTGTGGCTATGGCTCAATGACTTGCAATTCCAGAGGAGCAGAAAAGGCATGGGCATTGCAGCTGCTTCCCCTCATTGCTGTTGCCATGTTGTTCAGGGCCTGATAAGTGGGACCCATCTGCACAGCCACAAAATCGTACTCTCTTGGTTTAGAACTAGTTACCGACGTGTGAGGCTAACTGCCTGCTTTGGGAGGCAGCAGCATAGAGACTTTCCCATTCTTCCTTAGTATTTGCTCCATGGCCATGTTCTCTCTTGCATTTTTACAGCTCAGTGAAGCGTATGGACCAGTGTTCACAGTGCACATGGGCTCTGACCCAGTGGTGGTGCTGCACGGATACGATGTGGTGAAAGAAGCCTTGATTGATCGTGCAGACGAGTTTGCTTCCAGGGGACACATGCCAATTGGAGAGAGGACTAACAATGGATTAGGTAATTTGCTGACTGAGCTCCCTCTGAAGGAGAAGGGAAGGGCTGAGGATGTGTACAGCAGATCAGAGCTGGAGTGTACCTTGCATGAGGGAAAATGCCAGGGGTGGGTGCAACCCACCTGGAGAGGGGAAGCCAGAGAAGGCTACAGCCACTCAAAGGGTGGAGGTGACAGAGAAGGGGAGCCAGATTGTCCTCAAAAATAGGCAGGGAAATGGCAAGGGGCAACAGCCAGCTGCTGCAGCAAGGGAAATTGTGTATGGGTGAGTGATGAATTATTCACAAGGATGTTGGGCATGTAGCAGAGAAGGCCAAAAGCAGGCAGTTGGACTACAGAACCTCCAAACCACACTGTGACGCTGTCTTGTCAGTGCTCTCCAGGGACAGGATTCACTGTCACCATGAGCCACTGTTCATCTCCCACCCAGCATGCCCAAGACAGGTCATTCCTCTTCCTTTCCCCTGTAGGGATTATTTTCAGCAACAATGAGCCATGGTTGCAAGTCCGGCGGTTTTCTCTCACCACTCTGCGGAACTTTGGAATGGGGAAGAGGAGCATTGAAGAGAGGATACAGGAGGAATCTGACTACTTGCTGGAAGAGATCCACAAAACAAAGGGTACAGTCCATTTTCAATATATTTTATGTTTGAAACAAAAGAGGCTATATTAAGGGAGTTCACATCTTTAGCAAGGAATGAAGTTCCTGTGGATTTGGTCCATGCACCAGCTACCCCTCATTACGAAGCTGAAATAATTTTGTGACCATGTCCTGCTCTGTTTGGAGGACCCTTCGGTATCACTCAGAGACTGATCTGATATTTCCACTAACAACCAGAGTTCAGATTACCCACAGTAGCCATAAGTAGACATACAATATTTCATGGGGTTTTTAAAAATAATCTTAACATTTCTGAAATCACAGGAACAGCTTTTGACCCAACCTTCATGCTGAGCTGTTCTGTCTCCAATGTCATATGCTCCATTATCTTTGGGAGACGATATGATTATAAAGACAAGAAGTTCCTGGCTCTGATGGACAACATGAACAACATCTTTGAGATGATGAACTCCCGCTGGGGACAGGTACATTCAGCAGGCATTTCACAGTGGCAACATTCTCCCAGGGGAGCAGGAGACCTCCTTCCCAATCAAGTTCCATTTCAGTCCTCTAATTAGGACCCCATCAATGCTTTGCTGCACTGAAGGCATTTCATTCAAGGGCAAGAAACTCCCTCACCAAAGCTGGAATTGGCTTTGCCAGCTAAGTGCCCTAGTTCCCAATAATCCTGGACACCTTTCTTCTCCACTTCTAAGGTTCCTACTATTACTACTAGTAAGCAATTCCTGCCAGAGTGCCTAGACTGATATTCCTTCTGCTTGGCTCAGTTGATAGGGTGGTGGCTTTCCTGGGCATTTGGGTGATATCAAAGGATGGGGCAAATATCGTACTAGGGACCTTCCTGTTTCTTTCCTTCCAGCTCTACCAGATGTTCTCAAATATCATGGATTACCTGCCTGGCCCACACAACAATATATTTGCAGAATTTGATGCTCTAAAAGCCTTTGTAGCAGAGGAGGTGAAGTTGCACCAAGCCTCCCTAGATCCCAACTCCCCTCAGGATTTCATCGACTGCTTCCTCAGCAAAATGCAGGAGGTAAGGAGACAGATGGCCCCAGCTTGTCCCCAAACACACCTATGCTGTGTCCTTCAATCTCATAAATAACACAGATATGGGGATGACCCCTTTCCAGTCAGCTGTGCAATGGGAAAACAGCAACAATACTCCAGATACTGCCTGTATTAGAGCTTATAGCTCTGGGTCTGCATGCTCTGCACCAGGCACCACTATGTGCAGCTGTTGGGAGAGGGGGAGCTTGCTCTGCTTTCACCAAAACACAGGGACTTTTTCAGTCTGGTCTTGCAGTTCTTTCACTGGAAAGCAATTGGAACAGCAGACAAGCAGTAGTGTGTCATTGAGTGCACAGCTTAAAAGGAGGTTGGCACTGAGCTTACTGTTCAAGGCTGCATTGCAATGCCCCAGATGGCAGCTGCACCTTAGTAGAGAAATGCCACAGCTCAAGGAGAAAAGGAAGGTCTGGGAAGACATGAGAAAGGGCCACTTCTCTCAGCTCAGCCAGAGGAAAAACAAAGCCTTTTCTTTAGGAGCCTTTTGCTTTCCTTAGGAGAAAGACCATCCCAATTCTAGTTTCCACATGAAGAACCTGGTAACAAGTGCTTTTGACTTGTTCATTGCTGGAACTGAGACAACAAGCACAACTGTACGATATGGGCTTCTGCTTCTTATCAAATATCCAAAGATACAAGGTACCAGTTTGTGACCTCTTCCTCTCTAGCTCTTCCCCTGGGCTGGGCACATGACTAATACCAGATCCTCCGCCCAGATTTCCCCCTCATCTCTCTATCTCGGTTTCTCTCTCTCTTTCTCTCTCTGGGACCTGACTGTGTCCACATCTTTATTTAGCCAAATCAATAGGAGAGCTTTCTTTGCATGGGCAGCAGAGGAGCTGTGTTCCAGTCTAAACCAAAACCAACTTAATGCTCCTGCCATCTGTGATTTGTAAACAGCTCAGGGCAACCTATTTTGACTGGTTTGGTTTCATTTACTCATTTGGTGGTTTATGCCTCTCATGACAGAGAAAATTCAAGAAGAGATTGACCAGGTAGTAGGACGATCAAGAAAACCCTGTGTGGCTGACCGGACCCAGATGCCCTACACAGATGCCGTGGTCCATGAAATCCAGCGCTTCATCACTCTTGTCCCCCTGGCTCTCCCTCACACTGTGACCAAAGACACCAGCTTCAGAGACTACGTCATTCCTAAGGTTAGCTCCCTCAAGTACAGCAGTTCTTGGGCTGTCAGTTAGAAGCCACAAGGTAGAACTGTTGTGGCCTGACCTTGTTTTCACCCCGTCCTTTGTGAGGCTTTTATCCTCAGGCAGCTGTAGCTGACTTGCACTCTCTTGTTGATGTTCCATGGGCCAAGACTAAAACAGTAGCTCTGAGCAACACTTTTGTTCCCTTGCTCTGCAGCTTTAAGATTTGCAGAAGCACAGAGGGTTCACCAACACCCAGAGCAGTGATTCTTCACACAATAGGCAGCAAAGCTGAGGAGCAGCTCACCACCATCCAGGACAGCCTGTGCACATGCTTGGGAGCAAAGTCAGTTGCTGGTTATTGAGCACAGAAAGACTCTGAGCCACAAAATGCTGTAGGTGATGTTTGCATTGAATGCAACCAGCCAAACCTATTGGCTCTGCTCTAGCACACTTCCTGAGGCAGTCTCTGCCGGCCACTGCCAGAGGCAGGCTGGTGGGCCAGAGCAGCGCATGGCTTGGCCTGGCCTGCTGCAGCAGTGCTCGTTGCTCTTCTGGGTGACTGCGGGCAGCTGGGAAACAGCAGTACATGGGCTGCTGGTGGTGTGATTTCCAGCTCTCTGTGTACAATCATAAGGCAGGACCCAGAGAACTGCTCAGCTACCAGCAGAGAACTCTGGTGTCATTGCTGCTGAATACTCCAGCCCCTGTTAATGGCTGGCCAGGAAGAAAGAGAAGAATTAGGTGGGGCCCTGATAACCAGAGCAGGGTGAGGATGAATGCTCTGGAGACAAGAGGGAGAATTCAGGAAGAGCAGCCAACAACTGCTGTGACATTCAGTAGAGTCTCCCTAAAGCTGCCTCCTCTAAAGAAGGGTCCCCAAAGGGAAACCAAATGCACTGGTAGGGTTATACAGGGAAGCACAGTCTCAACTTGTCGGGCAGTCACATTGAATGACCTCATTTGCCTGCCTCTCATGTTCTGCTCTTCTTGTGTTACTTCAGGGCACCACGATTTACCCTGTCCTCGCTTCTGTCCTCTACGACAGTAAAGAATTTCCAAACCCACATGAGTTCAATCCTGAACATTTCTTGAATAAGGATGGCAGCTTTAGGAAGAGCAACTACTTCATGCCCTTCTCAGCAGGTAAAGCACACGTTTGCTCTTTTCCTCTCTCTGTCGGCCTCCCGCCTCTGGTGACCACCCTGCCCTTCCCTGCAGCACACAACTGCCTCTTCCTAGCACACTCCCACAGGTGTTTCCTTGGGGTTTACTGCTCTCTGGATAACTCCTCTCCATTGCCCCCATCTTCAGTGGCATCTCCCATCTCCTTCAGGCCTGATGGCTTCTCAAATCTCCTGCTAGGAGTTGCCAATGTAATGACGTGAATAGGGTCCACTGGCACTAAAATACCTGTCCCCTTCGCACACAACCACCCAGGTTAAGCCCCTGTTAATGGCTGGCCAGGAAGTGGGAAGGTAGAGGATTGTGGCAGGAGAAATTTGTGAGGAGAGGGGAATTGCACAGGAGCTTGTTTTCCACAACCTTGTGTGCTTTGGATATTTTGGACTCACAGAAAAGAAAGGACATGATGCATCTACAAGGTCATTATTGTGAAACACCAAGAAAGAGAAGAATTAGGTGGGGTGTCCCATGATAACCAGAGCAGGGTGAGGATGAATGCTCTGGAGACAAGAGGGAGAATTCAGGAAGAGCAGCCAACAACTGCTGTGACATTCAGTAGAGTCTCCCTAAAGCTGCCTCCTCTAAAGAAGGGTCCCCAAAGGGAAACCAAATGCACTGGTAGGGTTATACAGGGAAGCACAGTCTCAACTTGGCAGGCAGTCAGATTGAGTGACCTCATTTGCCTGCCTCTCATGTTCTGCTCTTCTTGTGTTACTTCAGGGCACCACGATTTACCCTGTCCTCGCTTCTGTCCTCTACGACAGTAAAGAGTTTCCAAATCCACATGAGTTCAATCCTGAACATTTCTTGAATAAGGATGGCAGCTTTAGGAAGAGCAACTACTTCATGCCCTTCTCAGCAGGTAAAGCACACGTTTGCTCTTTTCCTCTCTCTGTCGGCCTCCCGCCTCTGGTGACCACCCTGCCCTTCCCTGCAGCACACAACTGCCTCTTCCTAGCACACTCCCACAGGTGTTTCCTTGGGGTTTACTGCTCTCTGGATAACTCCTCTCCATTGCCCCCATCTTCAGTGGCATCTCCCATCTCCTTCAGGCCTGATGGCTTCTCAAATCTCCTGCTAGGAGTTGCCAATGTAATGACGTGAATAGGGTCCACTGGCACTAAAATACCTGTCCCCTTCACACACAACCACCCAGGTTGTCCTGAACAAATCTTTTTGTGACAGCTCCACTTTTTCCCCAGCACCTTTTAAGTACCTCTTAAGCTACATGCAACCATTCACCTATCAATAGTCCCAACCTTCCTCTTCCTCACCTGTGCTTTATGTCACCCTGCTCTCTCTCATCTTGACTCCTGTCATGTTCCCTCCACAGTTAAGTCTTCTCCTGCTCCTGTCCTTCACACACCCATCCAAACTGTCAGGGGTCTTTTGCCAGCAAATTCTTCTCTTGAAAATGCCCTTGGTAACCCTGACAGTTGTCTCACTGCTATGGCTGTGTGTAGCAAACAAAGCTTGCAACACAGCTGCTTAGCACAAACTCTGCTCTACTTAGAAACTGCCATTGAGTTTCATTTGCTGCTTTCACTTCCAGGAAAACGAATTTGCCCAGGAGAGGGCCTGGCACGAATGGAGATATTCTTACTCATAGCCACCATCTTGCAGAACTTTACTTTGAAGTCTGTTGTCAACCCCCAGGAGCTCAGCATAACCCCAATTCTGAGTGGGATAGGCAATGTACCTCCTGACTTCCAGCTCTGTGCTTTCCCCCGCTGAAAAGCACTGAACCACTCTCCACTGGCCTGAAAATGGCCATTGCTTTACATGTTCTTTACTAAAATCAACAGCAGGAGCATTGGCCCACCTTTCCCAGGCCTTCAGGAAGGCAGTCCAAACACAGGAACAAAGTAGAGACCTTTGAAGCCTCCAGACCTCCACCAAACCGCAGGAGGCCCTGGGTGACATTGCAGCCTCTGGCACTGCTGCTCTGTCCCCGGATCATTGAGGACAGTGGCTGCATCAAACAGCCACTCTTGGTTTTCTCACCAACACAGCTCCCGTGGCAGCACCTGCAGCACGTGTCCCACCAAGACCTGGCTTTGCAGATGGACACTGCTGCACGTGTGTACAGTCATGTAAATATCCAATCCAATAAACACAAATCTGTTTATGACGATTTGAGCTGTTCTTTAATTTGGATTGGGGCAGTGCCCACATCTGCTGCTGCACTGCAGAGTAGGTCTGCAGAGCCTGTGGCCAGCAGCCTGTGGGAAGGGCTGCCTCTCCTGGGCAAGGATCCTGCCTTTGTCATCCACTGTGCTCACTGCTGCTGCCTGCAAGGAGCTCCAGAGCAGCCACAGCACACCACCATTCGGGAAGGCTCATAGTGCTGGAGGAGAATGGTATCCTGCAGCCTGTCTGCCAAATGAAATGAATACATTCATGCTTTTTGCAGCCTGTTGCAAGGAGATCACTTACCTGAGCATTGGAGGCTGCAGCCAACTCTCTGTTGGCTGTTTTCTACCATCAGTATCACTGCATGGATTTAGGTACTCTTAATTAAAATAAATGGAATTAGGAAAAGGGTAGTGTCTCTTATTTCCAACTCCAGCTACAATTTGGTGCCCTTCTTTCAGTAAATGGCCAGATGGTTTTCATAAAAATATTCCATACCAGATTACTTCATCTGGGCTTCTTTGCTCCTGTGGCCCTTTGTTGAGTCAGGATGTACAGTTTGTCTTGATCTTCATTTGCATAGATACTTGTCCCCTGCATCATGATCATATAAAAGTCCTAGTGGCAAAATATAATTTCTGTGATTGATTGTCATGTGGTACTCAGAGACCACGTGAGTACTGGAGAGAAAAGAGTGTGCAAGAATTCCCACCTCCCATTGGAAAAGTTTAGCATTATTTTGATGGAAATATCACATTTGCCCACAGCTCAGGTCCATCCCTCTTTCTTCCTCCATTTGTTCCCATGAAGACTGCAGCTCTAATGCCTGTGTACTCTAAAACTATGGCAAACCATTGCTGACTGCTCATCTGGGATGGCATGAAATGGACAGGCGTGCATCAGAAACAGCAGCCATGTATGAGACCCAGGCACAATGGAGAGGAGATTGCCTTGAGGTTTCCCTTAGTCTAAGGCTGCCCTTGGAGCCGGTCCTGCAACCCAGCAGCATGGGTGCTTTGTTGAGAACAAGTTAAAAATGGCTTACATCTGGAGGTCTTGGAGGGGATGATTCATATTCCTGTCCTTCCTGCCCACTGGCATGCTGATTCATCTCAGGCTATGAACAAAACTGTGACAAACAACATCTTTCAACAATTCACAAACAACTGCATGAGAAGCACGGGGCAGTGAGATAATGTTTCCTTAGTAAAGAGCACCAGAGCACAGGACATGCTCAGGGGATAAATAACCACACAGGGGATAACATTGGGCATAATATTCAACATCTCCTAAGCTGGATGCAATAATGCTGTGTCATTTGGAACAATGACAGCATCCTCTTGACACCTACCCATGAGAATGACCTTGCAGAGGTCCGTGCAATATCTAGGGCACCAACCTCCTCTTTGCTCCAACTGCCCTAAGACCCAACAACACCTCCAGGACAGAAATGCTAAAATCCAAGCAGGTATTTGAAACCATCTCTTGCACTGTAAGGAAAGGCAGAGCTTATGAAGGAGTTGAGTTTGGTTGATCTGGTTGGGGCAGAGAAAGGGAGGGTTAAACACCCCCATGGAGCTTTTCAACTAATCAATAGTTGGTGCAGTGCCTCACCTCTCCTGCTTTCTGACATCCCCCTGATACTCCCATCCAACGACCCAACTCCCACTCACCATTTCACGCTTCTCCATGAAAATCCTTGCATGCACTATCAGCAGACTGCCCAATGTCAGGGTTAGTGCTCCCTTTAGGATAAGATTCTCTTCCTGCTAATACATGCAGGACCTGCAAAGCAGAAGAGATGATGGCATTTCTCTTGGGCTGACTCAGACAAACTGGCTGGGGCCCAGAACATCCAGGCTCTGGCACACACCTGGGAAGCTGGCCTTCAGGGCACTGGAGCTTCCATACCTTCTCTATCAGCTGCATGGCAAATAAGGCAGCTTCTGGCTCTAAGGCTGCACTTCAAACGAGGCACAGAGGGGAATCCTGCTTTTGCTTTCTAAGGCTACCACCTCATCTGCCAGAGCATTTGCTGGAAATGCCAGGACAAAGTGGAAGATTTCTACTGGCTTGATGCTGAGACCAAGGAGCCTGCCTGCTCTGAGGCATCATTCTTTGTCTGAAGTAAGTTGTGCCACTGGGTCACACTGTGCCATGGTACTCGGCTGCAGCAGGCTACATGGGGATGCTTATTCCTTTCTTCATCTCCGCTGCTGCGTTGCCTTTGGGAACAGCTGGGAGAAAATTCAGATACCATGAAGGTTTGGGTAGCTGTGACACACACCACAGAGCTGTTCTGGGTAGTGGAACACTCATCAATTAGGAGTGTGCTGGGGAAAGAACTCAGGCATGGTCCTTAGCAAGCAGGGTAGACATAAAGCACTGGACAGAAAGAGGAAGAAAAGCATTTGAGTTGCTGCCATAGCAGCATTTTGCTGCCAAGGATTGTGGACTAAAACTTTGCAGTAAGGAACATCTGCCTCAGCCTGCTGTCCTTCGCACAGGAGTTTCAAGTCTCTGGGTGTTTGGCACCTGCTGCTGAAGGCCATAGGCTGTCATGTAGCAAATGAGCTGGTCCTTTGAGAAACACTTGTAGACTAATTCCCAGACCCCTGACCTTTACCACTGCAGACTGGCATCTCAGCCCCCTAAAGTGTGAGCAACAATGGAACAATCTAGCCCTTTGGCTGGCCATCTTCTTTATCTGCCCCACTTTCTAAATGCTCCCTTGATTGCAAAAGCCATTGCCAACCTAAAGGCCCACAGGAAAGTTCCTTCCCGGTATTAGCAGTAGACCCAAACAACAGCTGGCAGAACAAGGAATAGAATAAGTAGTTTCATCCCCGCGAGGAAGTGGAAAATGCAAGCATACAACAGAATGTTTTTCATTTTTGGAGGTAGGATTTGGCCTGCTATCCTGGTACCCATCATAGGCGGACCATGTAGCATCAGGAAATGTACTCTGCTAACATCCAGTGCAAAAGTGAAACATAAAGGTGAAAGATCTATCAGTCAATATGAGCTGGACTGCAAAGACGATTTTGAACCTTGGAGTTTTGGAAAAAGGTTTTCAGTATCTCTTCTTCTGCCAAAACTTAGTTCAGCAGTGGCACTGAAACAATTAGATCAACTAGGGCGTTGGCTGAGTAACGAGTTCAATTCTACCTCCCTGCATTGAGTGATATGCTAACAGATGTCAACAGTATTAGACATGCAACCTTGCAAAACAGGGCTGCAATTGATTTTCTCTTATTAGCACATGGACATGGATGTGAGGATTTTAAAGGAATGTGTTGTACAAATCTATCTGATCACTCAGAATCTATTTACAAAAGCATACAAGGAAGGTGTATCACAGATTAGAAATGATGTGAGAACTTGGTTAGATAGTCTGTTTGATGGATGGAATTTAACTTCATGGGTGGAAGAGCTTCTAAAAAGGGGTTTATACATTTTAGTCATCATAATAGTTGTGCTAATCATGGTGCCTTGTTTCTCCAATGCATTTGAGAAATGATCAACAAAGCTATTAAGGTAATCTACATGGCTCAAAAAGGAGGGGGGATGTTGCAATGCAAGTCTCTCTGAGTTCCTCAGAGAGAGAAACATATGCAGTGGTTGAATTAAAGCCTTTAGAGAAATTAATATATAATAAGCTGCATAGTCATGAAATAGAAGTGTAGATTTAAGTAAGCGGAAATGTAGGTTATAGTTTTGAGTAAGTAGAAATATATTTTGAGTGCCTTAAGAAACTGCATTAGCTAGTGAAGGCCCTAAGGCCTAGTTTAAAGTTCAGTAACTTATCTCCAGACATAACAAATCATAGCAGAGCTTGGCTTGCTCTCTAGAACAGATAGAACTATATGTGTAAATAGATAGAACTATCCACGCAAATAGATAAACTTATAAGCTAGAACAGAGAGAGCTATATGTGTAAATAGATAGAACTATCCACGCAAATAGATAAACTTATAAACGTAAATATTAGTAAGAAAACAGATTGTATAGTTGCATAAATATATAATATTATATAAGTAGGTTTTTAGGTAAGAACTGACACTATTTTCATACTACTATAGCACATTAGAATTAAGTTTAGATTGGTTTAGAAAGAATGTTTGAGAATTGTGCTTTTAGCTGATTGGATGTCTTATGAATAAAATGCCCCTCTATTGGGGTGGAGGGATGGGAGCAAGGGATGGAAGGAAGAAAGAATAACAAGAAGAAAAGAAGAAAGAAGAAGAAAAGGTTGTGGTTCCTGCTGCTCAGAACATTGGACTCTATGCCAGGGAACAACTGTTGCTGCTGCTGCTGCTGTTCCTGCACAGAACCTGGGACTCTACACCAGAGAGGAGCTGTTGCAGCTGCAGCTTTGCTTGGGACACTGTGCCAGAAAGTTTTTAGCACAGACTTTCATACTTGAGCATGGACTTCAATACCTTGAACTCTTTACCTTTGAGACTGATGTATTCATGCAATAAACAACTTTACTACAACTAACAACTGCTCGTATCTTTGAAGGACAGCCTCGACAAGATTACTCCTGAAGTTTCTTGGAATACGAAAGGAATTAAAACATAGATCCCACCACTCGTTAACACCCTCCAACCACAGAGGAGCAACAGAACCTAATTAAAAAGAACAACATCTGCGGCCTCAAGCACGCTACTGATCAGATCTTTGCTTCCACATGTAAGTGTTACTCCCCCCTTTAAAGGCCCCAAAGCAATACAATTAAGGCTTCTCTCCTGCCCTTAACAGGAAGGAGCTCGTTAACACCCTCCAACCACACAGGAGCAACAGAACCTAAATAAAAAGATGCTTCCACATGTAAGTGCTACTCCCTCCTTTAAAGGCCCCAAAGCAATACAATTAAGGCTTCTCTCCTGCCCTTAACAGGAAGGATTTCTAATCAAGCCTTAGAGGAAAAGGGGGAAAAGCATTTTTCCTTCCCCTTAAGGACTACCCCACCAGCTACAAGCAGAGCTCAGTGTAAGTGCAAGCACCAGAGCTCCCCCAGGCTGGGCAGGAAGGAGGGGGTGGAGCCCCATTTCCCCTCTACTGCCGGCAGAGCTTTGCTGTGCTGTTTTCACATAGGACCTCAGAAAGCCAAGAGGGATGCTGCCCAGCTGCTGGGACTGACAACACCACACTGAACCACTCCAGATGCTCAAAATGGCAAGTTTTTTTCTCATCTAAAAGAAATAAGTTCAAAATTCAGAAAAGCGCTTTTATGCCAACAGCGATGTCAAATTAGCTTTGACCTAAGACCTTTGAAGATTCCTATCTGCTGCTGTCATGCGAAGGCTTAAGAGTAAGCACGAAGTAAAGTTAGAATTTTTTTTTCCCCCTGAATTTCAGAAGGGCCACCTAGGCCCTTTTATTTTTATTTTTTTTTTCCAGTTGATATGAAGTTTCCGTGTTCTCATTCACCAGAAAAATGCCACCTACCCTTTTCTGTTTCTAGGACAAGAAAGGCAAGTTCATCCACAGCATCATTAGCAAGGCCCATTTGTGTAGTGCTTTGGCATCCTTGCTTTCCAGTCCTGCCACATGAGCACAGCCCTACCTTACCTAGTGACATAGGGACAAGTGAGCGACTCCCAGCTCCTCAGTGCAGTCAAAATACCTGCTCTGCATCTTGGAGAGAATGGAGAGAAGGCTCCTAGAATGAAGCCTAGGTCACTACTTTTACAAGCCACTATATTCATTAACAGAAATGCCAACACCACCCAGCACCAATCCTGCCTCAGTCTGCAGCCCAGGCCTTGACAAGGTCTCCGGTTTGTCCAAGGCAGACAGATAACATCAAACCCAGAGTAGAAGAATTCCAGAGTGAGATGAATTCAGAGCACTTGGAAATCTTGCACAGGCAGTGGGGTAATTTCTGCCTTGCAAATATAGTCTTACAGCTAGGGTCTCCAAGGGAAGGGGGACCACCAAACAAACGGGTTTGACAATCACTTTATTGCAATCCATTGATTTCATGCATGGCTGACATCTTCCTTTGCCACAGCACAGAAACCACAAGCACCACACACAGAGCTGTCCCAGTTGCCACAGCAGCAAATCCCAGAGCCCAGGGGGCTGCAGCATGCACAGCTGCTCCCGTGGGGAGAGACACCCCAAGGAATGCTCCCAGTGAGGCACAGGGATGCCTTAGGGGCTCAGCCTTTCTGTAGAAAAGCCTTAGACCAGCCCCCTTCCCCTGCTCTGCTGCCACACTTACCAAGGCCATCCTTGGCTGTGTCCTGTCTTAGCTCATCCTGCAGGAAAATCACAGGGCCTTTGCTGGAGACATGGGAAGTACCTTCCTGAAAAGGATGCTCAGTACTCCTTTTACCCACTACAGAGCAACGTGAAGGTTGTAGGTAAGAAGAGATAGAGCCCTGAAGGTCAGCAAACTTTCTCCAGGTCAGCTTCTCAACACATGGGGAGCTCTGAAGGCACAGTTTCCATGTGAGACCACACAGAGCTAAGAGCCCATGAAGACCTCTGTCTTTTTGGCATAAGAAGAGCCCTTGGTCAGTGGAAAGGAGCAGGAAATGCTTTGTCAAGCTGTCCGTGCCTTAAGGGAATTACTCCATAGGCTACATGTCTCCTACTCCCCAGCTTGGAGACTAGGCCCTTGCTGCCCCTTTGGCTAGGGAGCAGAAGGCCAAGACACTTACTGACTCTGGAAGGACAAGTGGTGATGCAGGACTCCTTTACAGACTGGTGGCACACCAAAGCACTGCAGTGCAGGTACACCTAGAGAAAAGTGGAACACAGCCTGAAATCCCTCAGGCACTGTCTGGGGCCTGGCGATATCCTAGTGTGGCACACTGAGCCCAGGCAGCAGCTAAGCGCCCACACAGCCGCTTGCTCACTCCCCCTACTCTGCCCCAGCAGGGCAGAAAAAGAATAGGAAGAGCAATAGCATGAAAACCTGTAGCTGGAGAGATAAAGACAGTTAACTAAGTGAAGGAGAGGAGGAGAGGGAAGAAAAGGTCTAAAGCACAAGCGATGTAAAGAAAAGTCACCTACCCTGCGCCTACAGGCAGGTCAGTGCCCAGGCAGTTGGGGCATCAGCTATGCTGAAAGATCAAATCCCCCAATGTTTGCACTGCTGAGCATAAAATTGTGCAGCATGGAATATTCCTTTGGCCACTTCGAGTCAGCTCTGCTGCCTCCTGGGTTCTAGCCTGTCCCATGCCTACTCACTTGGGGTTGAGAGACAGCAGAATGAAGAGAAAGTCTTGGTGTTCTGCAAGTGCTATTCAGCAATCAGCGAGAACATCTGTTTTCACCACTGTTTCAGGGACAAATCCAAAGCCACAGCACCATCCATATGGGCTGCTAAGGGGAGAGTTAGCTCCATACCACGGGCCTGGTCCCTAAGGGGGAAGGCAAGAAGGTCTGTTCGGCTTGTTTCACATCCAGGCTGTAGCCTTGGAGCCCTCTGCTGTCCGCTCCAAGGTGGCTTCGAAACTTTTACACATACACTTGCAATCTCAGTCCAATGCAGCATTACAGCACTTCTCCCTGACACCTGCAATACTGCTGCCCGGGCACCACTTCTCTGGGAACCTTGTTAAGTACAGCTGAGACCAATTTTGTGTATTAGTCGATCCCAGGAGCACTGAGCAAACAGTACAAGGCAGGGTGAATTTCATGGGGCTTAACTGGAGGATCTCAATGGAATTCAGAGCCCAGATGCTTCAAAAGATACTCAAAGTTTATTTCCAAGTAATTTTAGCCAAGAAATGTAGTTTAGAGAATATTGATTAGTGTAGCTAGAGCACACACCCTAAGCTAATTCACCAGCCAAACTAGCACTTGCTTAGGTAAACTACTATCCTTCTAGTAGTCACATTTTCTGTCACACTCCAAAAGTGATGCCTCTTACCTCTACCACATTCACTTCAGGGAATGAAGCTTTTGGCATCAACCTCTCCCCTTCTCTTTCAGCAGGAGATTTTCCTAGTCTTTGCCCCACTCCCCAAAAGAGGCCAAGAGACTCATAGTCAAGAAGTGCTTCTTATTGCTCACACATTTTACTTGTCTTCAGTGTGAAACTAGGCAGGCAGGACAGCTGTGTCTGATAGCTGTCCCCTGCATAAGGGCACCTGAGGAGGAAAGGTAAGCAGTGAAAAAGAGCAAGTTATTCCCTTGGCCCAAAGTTTTTTTCAAGTCACTTACCCATCCACCAAAAGTGGCCACTGCTGCTGTTGCTGGGGGTTGGTGCTTGGTGCGGCCCAGCAGAGGTGCAGAACTAAAATCAGGTCTGGGTCTGTTCTCTGAAGGATCTTGACCCCTACATAGAGAGGGTCTCTCAGAGTCTCCACAACAGGATAGTCACTGTCCATACAGTAGGAAGTATAGCTTCCATCTGGGACAGAAGAAACCTAAGAGCCATTTAAAAGCAGGAAGAAACAGGAATAGGCATCCTTTATAGCCATATCAGTAAGTTCCCACCATGGCAGAGAAGCAGTGCTGGGTTAACCCATCGATACTCCACTGTTACTCATCAGAGACCAGAGCCCTGCACTGAGAGCCTTGAGCAGGTCCTGCAAACCTCTCCTACCTGAGGCAACATGCAGCTCCAAAGACAGAGGGCCTGGCTGGGACAGAGCAGGGAGTGGTGGCAACCTGCTCAGTGGTGGTGAAGACCTGAACACTCAAGGGAACGGAGCTCCCACTGATGGAATAAGTACATTGAACATGTAACCTGGTGGGAAAGCTCCAAACCAGGCAAATAAGAAAAGCCACTCTGATACCCCCTTTCTCCAGTATGGCAACCTATCATCTGCTTTCATTAGTTCCATCCCCTTTCTTCTGTCACTTCCTTTTAACAAATTCTTCAAATTCTTTTTAATGTTTAGATTTGAGAATCAGCAGATTGTCATTGATCAATACCAGCTTTATACTGACTAATTAGAGCTACACCATTCTTCAAGCTACTCCAGCGCCCTCATGTGAACTCAGAGCTTGTGACAAGCAGGAATTTCTCTAGTGACATTGAACCCAGACACCCAGCAACATCAGCCTCAGGGTAATACCTGAAAGTGCTATCCCTAGTGACAGAGCCAAGGCTCCCAGTCTTCACATCCCTGCTTGCCACCAGCTCATTCTCATATATGGCCTGGTCTCCAGTCATCTGGAATGACAGATAGGCACCATCACTGTGGTAAAGTCAGGCTGGATCAGTATGATGCTGGAGAACAGCGTTTGGCCTGTGGAAGTCTGCAGGATGTCCATTAAGCAGCCAAAGCCATGTCAGGCTGTTCCAGCTCTTCCAGCCTAGCAACAGCTGCAGCTCTTACCTGAAAATAGTGCCACAGGCAGAGAGCGGAAACTGGTACACAACAAAGACATTGTTTGTTAGGACAGGGACACAGCCAGTACTGTGTCCACTGGCCAGTTGCACTGAGTCCAGGGCAACAGGTGGCAGGTCACATCTCGAGAAACAGCAATGGAAAACTGGCCATCTGGTGTGCAATGAGCTGTCACTGGAGAAAAAGATATAATCAGTCTTGAGCACAGAGATAAGAGCGATGGAAAGGAAGCCCTAACATAACAACCAAGACCAGCAAGTCCTGCAAGTTGTTCTGCCTTAAACCCACAAAACAAGGGCTAAGTTTGGCAAGACAAGTGCAACCGGTTCCAACAACAACAACACCACCGATGCCAGGCATAAAACCAGGTGTGTTGCAATACAGTGGAAAATGCTGGACACTTCACTGGGACATGATATTCTTGGCAGCCAAAAACATAGCCCTGAGCCACCTGCAGGAGTGGTACACAGCAAGCACTGGCTTGCCCTGCCAGCAACATGAGAAACCCTGTTTTGCAGCAGCTCAGGAAGGAGGGCGAACGGCTGATCAGGCTTACCTGTGTTACCAAAGTAGCACAGCTTCACCCTCTCTCTGGGGTCATAGCAGCAGCCTCGTGCTTCACAGTCTCCCTGGCTGATGGGCAGGGAGGCACAAGGCAGCCGGTCCTGGCTGGGAACAGCCGAGCAGACACTACTGCTTGGACAGGGCTGGAAAAAACAGCATGTCTATGCAGATAAAGCACAAGAGCAGGGGGACAAAGACATGAAGGACACTGGCTGAAGGAGTCCTGGTGATTCTGCATACACATGAAGGGAAGTGAGAGTTAGGTGAGGGTCAAACACATGGCCTGGATCTGGCATGGAAGCCTGCTCAGGAGGGACCTGCATTTCCATGGAGCAGAGACTCCCCCTGAGGCCATGTACAGGAAACTGGTCTTACATTAGATCTGTCAAGATAAAGTCATTTAGATCAATTCTTGGTAGTTTAGGAAATCATTGTACCTAGTCTCTGGCTCAATCCCTGAACTTGCAGGAGCTCATGTAGCCAGAATATGGCTGGGAGACACGATGCACATATTCACCTGCTGACCTATCAGAGAGGCACAAGTCCCCAGCAAGTTGGTGGCTCCTATGTCCAAACATCTGTTCATGGAGTTTCTGCACAGTCTTTCTGTAAGTCCCCTTTCCTAGCCCCCAAGCTGACTATAGGAACAGCCACCTGAAAGGAATGGCACTCATCAGCACAAGATTCTGCCAAGTGCTTCTGTCTTACCAGGAAGGTCCACAGAGCACCTGAGCAGCATCTGCTCATGAAGAACCTTTTGCCCAGCAGCATCTGTTCCTTCAAGCCCAACCAGTATAAGGTAGTTGTGATCCTAGGGGAAAGCCACACCAGTCAGGACAGCCAGAGCAGCAGCAGGTACAGCCCCAGAAGAATCCCTAAGGCCACTCACCCACTCAAAGACATAACAGCCTGCATAAGACACCGATACTTTCCTGGAGCCCTCTGGAGTCCCAGATACCAAGAGTCCACAGCCAGTCATTCTGCAGAACATGTGCCTTCCCTTCAGTATCCAGGGAAAGAGGACACAGCAGCAGGGGCTTCAGAGTCCCACATTGCAGATTAGACCCACTGCAATCCTACCTTTCTGTAGGAAATAGGGACCTAGACAGTATTAGGGTCTGGAACAGCAGTGAGAGAATCCAGCAGCCAAGACGTCTAGACCCAGGCACAGCACTTCACCAAGTCCTTGACTGCTGTGTCATATAAACACCCCCTGATTATGCAAGATGCACAGAACTTCAGTGAAGTCCAACAGCACTTCACATCACTACCTGTTTCTTTCTTTTCAGTCCATGCACCTCTACATTTGGGCAAATGCATATGGCTAAAAATACCACTTGATATTGCCTCACCCCAAGTAGTCAGCACAAATTAAGCAATCCAGTCCCTGCCTGGAGATAAGGTGAACTGTAAACTTTTATGGCCACAAGTCAGCAGGGTAGGATCAGAAAAAACACTGACATGAGCCCCCAGAACCAAAGCCAGGGGACCAAGAAACACCCAGAAGAGCACAGCTCCTGATGCAGCCCTAGACCACCCTACAACACCCATCCTGCTCTCTTGCTAGGCTCTTAGCCTAGTCCTTTTAAATTGTGGAGCCAGCTGGGACCAGAAACCCCTGAAGTGCCCAGGTGGACCCAGCCCAGCAGTTAAACACCTTCCGTTGCCCTCACCTGAACTCAGCAGAGTCTGCTTGCACTCTTTCAAGGAAACCAAAGGGCAAGAGTTGAGCTTGTGTCAAGAGACGGGTCTGTATTCGTACTGTAGAGCCCCAGGAGGGTCTTCAAAGCTTCTTTCCTACCCTGAGTCCTTCCCACATTTGGGACACCTAGGAAATCTGCTTGCTTCTCCCCATGCACCCTGTTCCTGCTCATTACATGCCATGAGTGCAAGAAACAGTGACAACACTCTTTTACTCTTTTAAAGATTAGAGGGGTTCAAATGCCATCCACAGGGGGCTGACATAAAAGCACAGAAAGAGCCCTCTAGATAAAATCTGTGAGAAATCATGGAGCTCAGAAGGCTTTGCACACCTAAACAGTGGAGATGCCCCATAAGCACTCTTGGCTGTGGACTTACAGCCCTGTTTGCAGTGTGTTTGTGGGGATAGCTGCAGGACTGGCTCAGGCCTGGCTGCTAAGTGGAGGGATGGTGTACTCTCTGGGACTCCTTCCCCCAAAAACTGGCAGGTGGGCCTCTGATATGGGCTTGAAACTCAGGCAGGGGGGGCCTCTGTGATCCCAGAGAAAACTCTGCCTGCCAGCAACCATTGCCTGCCTGTAAGTGCAAGGTGTCATGGAGAGTTTTCTCCTCAGCCACACATCAGGCAGCCACACCAAGCAAATGCCTCGTTGTCCATCTTTCCTTGCATGTTTCTGCATTCATGCCATGGATGCCCTCAGCAGACCCTCCAGCTCCTGGATGTCTGCATGATATTTTATACTCTCCTCTCTTGTGAGGGCAGACACCGCTAGGGAGAGAGACTGAGGCTGTTGCTGTGCAATTGCTGAGGAAAACACAGTTGCATGTCTACTGGCAAAGCACACGCAGTGTGAACTTTACTGATTACCTCTGAAGATTTCAGGAACAATGAAGGATGGCTCACACCACTGAGGGCTTCCACAATCAGTAGTGAAGAACAGAAATCCCAAATGTCACTGAAGTACTTGGAAGATGCTCTTGTGACAGTGAATATCTGTGAGTGCTTCAGTAGGACAGTGTGCCCCTGTTAATTTTTTTAACAATTAACACTAGGTAAAACAAAATAGGTTTTGTGAGCACATTACAGATTTCCTAATCTCTATTCACATCTGCAGTTGTTTGAGATAAGATATGTCTTCAATGAATAATTAATACCAATAAAAGTCTTAGTTTCATAACACAGGGCAATCTAACAAATGATTGACTAGTAAATATTGACTGACTCAGCTATGTGACCCAGAACCTGCTCTTGAGCTAACAAAGATCTTTGGGATATAAACTCAGATTCTGACAGGCAGAGTCACTCCCCCTGAGCCACAGATGAAAATGGAGCTCCTGGGAGGAGCCACTGTTGTCCTCCTGGTTTGCATTGCTTGCCTGCTCTCCTTTGCAGCATGGAAAGGAAGGTCTGGGAAGGGGAAGATGCCTCCAGGACCAGCTCCCCTGCCCATTCTAGGTAACCTGTTGCAGATGAAAACAAGTAACATGGCCAAAACCCTCCAGAAGGTAAGGCAATGCCCTCAGCAGACCCTCCAGCTCCTGGATGTCTGCACAGCACTGTACAGCACCAGTTCCCTGGCCCCAGCCAGCCCTCATCACAGGCATGGTGGGTGGGCAGCAGCTGAGTCTGAGGGAGGCATTTCCTTTGCTCTTCCCCCTCAGCCCACAGCCCACCTTTGCTGCACAGCTGTACAAGGTGCCATGATCCCAGCTGGTCAAGAAGGTCACTGTGCCTACCTCTGCTAATTTCATGCACCAACCAGCAGGGCTGCTCCACAAAGTGTAAGACCTTGTCAGCAGCTCTGCACAACAGGAGATGGAGACAATGGATCTTGGCAGGCTGCCTCCCTGGCTGAGGCTTGAGCAGCCCTCATGAACCAACTGCTCCCCACAGAGCCTGCCCAGGCACCGGGCAGCAACAGAGGAGAGACACCCAGGGAAAACGTTTGGACTTTGCCAGGGAGGCAGGCTCCATCTCTTTAGAAGCTGAGCACTGGGCATGCTCAAATCACACCATCACTGAATGACTGCCAAATGCTCCCTTTGACTGCATTACCTGCTGATAATTGGGTAAAAACCAATAAAGTACTTTGGAGCTTTATGGAAGTACTTTGATTATACTTTAACCCATCAATACTTTAATTCTGCTGACAGAAAAAATATCTACATGGCCCTGAAGAATAATTCTACGTGAAAGAACCCCAGAAGTGCTGTAGATCTGCCAAGGAGTACCTGTGCTGAGAATGTTTTCAGGTAACTGCCCTTTCCTAGTTCCTACACAGACACCAAATAGCTGTGGTTGATCATGTAGGGATGGGAGGCTCTTCAGATGAACCTGAAATTCAGGGAAATTAAATGCTTTGCT